TTTAAGTGGCAGATAGATTTGATAGCTAAATCCATTTTGTAATCAGAAATAATTTGCAATAGAGTTGCAGTCTAGGGAGAGAAACCACATACCATCATGATTAAGAAAGACAAAGAACATGCATATCCAATTATTTTTGAACCATTTCTTTTTTAAAAATACATAACAAACTAAAAAATGTTTATCAAGCTAAACATCAAAATGCATTCCAACTATATCCTCTATTTAACATCTGTTTTGAACATTCATATGAAATCTAAAAATACATGTCAAACTCAACATCAAAATATATATCAACCATATCATTACTTAACATCTATTTCAAATATACTGATCAAATCCAAAAATACATATGAAACGTCGCTTTAAAATAAATATCAACCATATTCTTTACTTAACATCTGTTTCAAATATACATATCAAACTAAAAAATAAAAGGTCAATTTCTCCACCCTTTTTTTGGCCAAACTAAAAGCACAATTTCCCCTCACATCGGGTTCCTCCATAGTCCTTCCCTCCTGGGCATTCCCATCTCTTCGCGATCGCAAATTATACCTCCATTCCTCTTGCAATGCCGACGCTTGAAAGTGATCAACTTTTTTCTTTGTTCTTATCTCATTTTCATCATCGCTCTCACCATTATCGTGACCTTCAACATCTTCTTCGCTTTCACATCATCGTCCTCCTTGCTCACTTTCCACTTCTCCACTCCTAGCCTGCGTTGTCTCCTCGGCACCTATCTCTATAGAAGGGTTATTCAATATCAAATCACGAGCCTCCTGTATATAACGCATGGATTCCCCGACTAATACTTCACTATTAGGTGCAGCTTGTGGCATCTCTATACAGGTATGTCATTGCAAGTAAACAATAAAAAAAACAAAATGGACCATAGTTTTATTTTTTATAATTACATATATATATATATATATATCATCATGGCCTGTGGAGGATTATACATGGGAGTGCAACTGCGACGGGGGGAGCATGGGTTTTTTTTAATATATAAACAATACTATTTCTCTATGCCACAGCTAAGCAATACCATTTCTCTAAGGTATAGTTCAATCTAACAACATAGATAAGCACAATATATACAACTAGCAATATAGACCATCCTAAAGTCTGTTTTTTGGGTTTTGTATTTTATAAAGAGCTACTACTAAAAATTAACAAGAGCTAGGCATTTTTTTTTTAATAACAAACTAAATTTGAACAAGAGAAAGAAGATGGATCATCAAATAAGAAACAATTGATGTAAAGAAAACCATGAGAAAACATATACAGCAAAACAAATCCAAACTTTACTACATTCAAGAACATTCAACCCTTAAAATCGCAATAGAGAAAAATATGACAAGTCCATAACAATTTAATAAGAAAAACTATAATAATTCTTAAGCCATGGGCAATCAATTGAGATCAAATGACTGAATGATTTTCAATCTAAAAAAAACCCAAAATTTTCTACCATCAAGAACATTCTAGCCCTAAAATAATAATAGACAATAGAGAAAAAGTCCAAACTCCATAACAATTTAAATGAAAAGCTTCAATAATTCTTAAGCCATGAGCGATCAATTGAAATCAAACGACTGAATGATTTTCAATCTAAAAAAATCCCAAAATTTCCTACCACCAAGACATTCTAGCCCTAAAATGACAATAGGGAAAAAAAAGCCAAACCCCACAATAAATTCCTAAGAAAAACTTCAATAATTCTTAAGCCATGAGCAATCCATCCCATCATTGTCAATGATAGATCAAATACAATAAATTTTGACAAACAATAACCCAACAACATATTTTAGCGTTCTCTTCCATAAATTTGTTATATATTTATTTAATAAGAAATAATTTAAAAACTCTTTCACACCTTTGATGGGGCTGATTTGGGGTTGAGAGATTGAGCTAAAAATTGAGCTCGGGCTTTGGGGGCTTGGGCTGGGGTGAATAAATTGAGAGCCCGAGCTGTTTCACTACGAGAGAGGGTGGGCCTTCAGTCCTTTGAAGAGTGAGAGGGAAAGAGCTAGGCCCAGGAGAGAGAGAGTAAGAGATAAAGAAGGAGCTCGGGTCAAGAGAGAGAGGGAAAGAGAGGGTGGTAGTTCGGGTAGGGAGTTAGAGTGAGAGAGAGGGAAACTGTGGGTTAAAAAATTAGGTTAAAGTAAAGTAAGGGAGGGTAAAGTAAAGGAAAAAATTTATATAATGTTGCATCCTTAAAATGTAGAAATACGGATGCCCCTTCAAAATTCATCGGATAATATTGTTTTGATGTTGAAAAACCCTCTAGTTGATCATCTCGATATAGAGATATATGAATATGACAAAAAAAAAGATTTGACTCCCGGAAATAGTGCATCTTATAACTCATTATCTAGACGTCTATTTTCATATGTTTGTAGATCTATTTGATTTTAGCTATTTTTGGAGTTTATAATTTTATAATTAGATATGAAAATAGATTTTCAGATAATCCTAAGAATTTCTTACACCAAAATTACATGTTATGATAAAAATTGGAAGTGTGCCTTAATTGGATTGTTTAAGGTTGCAACCTTATAGAAACCACACCCTAAAGTAAAAAAAGTGGTAGTTTAGACTTTTTTTTATTTTTTATTTGGTTGGGGGTATTTGCATAGAAAGTGTAATTTGAAGAAAAAAATGAGAAAAAAATTAGATAGAAGTAAGTTGCATAAAAAATATAGTCTTGAAAATTTTTTATAATTTTTTCAAAAAGATAAATGACCTCTTTATAGACAATAATGCTTACCTTATCACCTCAACCTTTCAAATATATTTTCTACATTGCATAAGTGCTGACCTGGATTAAAATGGTTTTGAATTACTATCTCCATTGTTGGCACATATCCTTCTTTTTCAAGAATAACCTACCCACCTTTTTATTTACACCTTGGTTTGGCCTCCGACTCTTATCTCCATCAATCTCCCCAAAGAAATAAAACAAAGTAAAGTGAACTTTTGCTTTATCACACGCGTGGTACCCACGGCTGTTGCAATCCTAGAGAAAGAGAGTGTGTTGCAATGAGTCAATAGGTGCAAAAGCCCGCTGACTCAGCAACGTGTCAAAAACTCACCGGACTTATACGGTGTAGAATTATTTTTCAAAAAAGTCACATTTTAAATATCAAAAATTGTATTTTATTTTTATATTCATGATCATCTTAAACTAGATCATAAATCTCAAAAAAAATTAGATTAATTTTTTTTTGCAAATGTACAGTATGAGTAGGCTAACTCCTAAAAATTTCATCCTTGTACAAGTGCATCTAAAGACAAATCGCCATTAGCATAAAAAAGAAAGAAAAAAGTACTTCACTTGAGACTCATATGTCAAAAGCATAAAAAGTTAAAAAGGATTTTGATATGATCAAATATCAAGTATTTCATTTGTCCTCCAAAGTGAGGCATAAAGGGCCCAAATGAAGACCCGACCCCATGTGGCCAACTTTCTTTTTCTTTCTCTACCTTTCTTTTGTCTTTCGATAGATCTAGAATCTAAGTTTTCAAACATGAACAGTTTGATCCTTGCGTGTGCTTTGATAATTTTGATTCTTTAATTTCATCCGTATTCCGCACGTTGCTGATGACTAAAAGTCTTCCTTTCTCTTAAAACAATCAATCTTTGGATCTGTCTTTATCTATAACCGTATTTGTTTACTCGGGCGGGCCAATTGGAACACGCATGTAGACTGACTTGCCGCCCTAACAAACTGTCAGCATACCCATATTGGGTGTTCAAGTCACTCGGTAATCTTTAATTTTTAAAAAAAATATAAAAGATTCAAAAAATTAATCTTAATTATTGGATGTAATATTGGGTCGTTACATTTATTGTATTGACTAAACTTGTAGTTCAAAATGAATTTTATTGAACTTTGTGACAACATCCAAACTATCGGATTTCACATTTGATGGTTATAAGTAGTTGAGACCATCATTGTATTAAAGATAAATGGTCTCAATGTTTACAACTCTATATTAATTTTTATAGATTTTTTTTTTTAAAATTATTTTAAAGATACCTCCCTCCATAATTTGTTTTGAAATATATTTTTTTACTACTTTTTTAACCTCATTTTGATGTATTTTGTTTGATTTTACTTTAAAAATATTTTTCCTGTTTTTTGAGATTTTTTTTGTAGTTTTTATTTTTTAACACTTCTTGGCTTGCCATGACCTGGCCCGACTCGGGCCAAGTTACTCGGCTTGGATAGTGCCCAAGTCTTCTCTCCGAGCTATAGCTTTGTAGGTGAGTAGTCTATATAAGGTACCCACCTTCCTATAAAGGTAAGGTGCACATCTAAATTTTGCCAAATTCAAGTGTCAAAACCTTAAATTGATTTGAAAATCTATGTGTTCAATTTTAACTGAAAAATATAAACTATTAAAAATAATGCAAATCGAACAAATTATAGACATATAAAATCGCAAATAAATTCATTCAAAATGAAAGTCATCTCTCATGTTCCTCATGTCGACTCAAATCCAGCGAATTTCCTGGTAGAGGTTCATTTTTATTCCATTGTTTCTGTCTAAGCAGCCCATTTTAATTCCAACCACAAACAATGATGGTAAAAAAGCAACCGCTGTACTTTTCTAAAATTTAAAATTAGGGCAATTTCCCCCTTGTTTCTTCCTCTCAAACCCTTGTTTTACTCAGCTTATTCATTTATATTAGTTTTTAGTTTCTTTCGAGACACATGACTAAATAATGGGAATTTCCCTAGGATAATTGAAGAAGTACAGTATAGGGGTGGCAACTGGTCGGATACGGATGGACTTGGGCCAAATAGTTTTTGAGTTCAAAATTTAGGCTCATACCTAAACCCAATTCTATAAATCAAGTTATCGGTCTGGTCGGGTCAATTGTGAGCTCCAAAAAAAAAAAAAAAAAACGTTTTAAAGGGCATCTTCGTCATTTTTCAAGTTATAATTGAGTCCAAGAGTACTGATACCATGTACAAAAACTTTTCTTCTTCGGATGGGAGGATGGGTTCTTCTTTTAATTATTAGGAGAGAGAAAGAGGGAAGGGGTGGGCTCTGCTTTTTATTATCAGGAGAGAGAAAGAGAGGAGACAAAGCAGCAGCACTGGTGGCAGAGTGACTGATCAAAAAGCAGAAAGACTCCCTCAATTCTCGCACTTTTTTAAATTCTCAGTATTTATGCTTTGGATCCACGAACCAAAACCTTTTTGATTTTTTCCTTTCCCTGAAATTGTTTTCCTTTTCTTTAAACCATTTTATATCACATCCCCCATTTAAAAACTCAGTTATGGTCCCTCTGCTGCACCTGACTTGACTTCACAAGACTTTCAGTCCCCATCTTCCCATTCCTCTTAAAACTTCTACGCTCTTTCCTTTCATATGCCCTTGTTTATATGCATAAACATTCTTCTTTCTTCTGCAAACTCCTTTTGCTTACACACTTCTTCCATGGAGGTGAGGAGCACTCACAAACTCCCTGAGAAACTCTTCCTATTGGGATTTTATTTTTCTCTCCAATTGTAACCTTGTTTGTTGGTTTTTTTTTCTTTCTTTCTTCTTTTTGTTGCAGGAATATAGAAGAGGTCAGATTCCGGCATTTGGTAACTGGGATGGCGGGGAAAGTCTCCCAATTACTCAGTATTTTGAGTCGGCGAGAGAGGCAGGGTTGTTGAGAAGACATGCTGAGGAAAATATGAGCGGTTTCAGGCAAACCATTAAGGTAAATTTTTTATTCCCTATTTAATTCGCGAGGACTGGACTGGTCGTATCGGTCTCGAGCCCAGGTAAAAGAGGAGGGTTGAGTTAGAACTTAAAACTTTGCTATGTGAATCATGATCTTATGAATAGTGGGATTCGTGTAGTAGGCCCCAAATGGTTAGGATAAGGCTCCGATGATAATGATGATTCAATTGATGGGGATATTAAAAATAACATTTGAAGACTTGTTGAATTGCTTTGCTTCTTCTTTTTCTTTTTGTTTAAATGAATTGCTTGTCTGTTCTTCAAAAAAAAATAATAATAATTGCTTGTTTGTTTTCTTAGAGTGATTTGATGTTGTTGGTTTTATTTCTCTTGGAGATTAGATTATTCTGTTTTTTTTTTGTCATTTACTGATTTTCACTGTCACTATTGAACTTTCATTTCTATCAAATTTTATTTGCCATGAGTTTGAAAGAAAACTGGAAATTATCCCAGACCCAGGGAGAAAGACTGAATAAGTTTGTCTTTTACATATTTCCATTTTTATTTTCTCCTTGTTTCATTTTATATTTGTTTTCAAAGGGGAACAAATTTTTTCCGAATATAAACACCAGAAGCCATTTGTCCTCTTTGGCTGAAACCTAACTCTTTATGTATTTCCCTCTCTTTGGGATTGCTTCGTGTAAGATGATTGGTGATGGCGGCCAATTAGGGCGAGGAATGCAGTCATATGGATATGGTGGTCAGTGTCCATTCTTTTATTTTCATAGTTCGGGTGAGAAATTATGGGTGGTTTAGCCGATTTTTTTTTTTTATAGAATGAGAAATTATGTATATTTTAGTGTATTTTACATTATTCGCCTCTTGTATATCTGGGGCAGTTTAGTTTAGTTTATTTTTATTTTTATTTTTTTTTATTTTTTACTTTAGTGGAGAAGACAACCGCTTCCCCGTTTTTTCAGATAGACATAGTGGGGTGGCGTTAGTGGGACTGGGGTTGTCAAGGATGCTACCACCAATATGAAGGCCCTTTTCCCTTTAGTGTTTTTTTTACTTGAATGGGTCTCATGGGTAATTTAATGACTTTCACTTGTATCATTGATTGAGTATTCACAGGTGGCAGATCGAAAACGAGATTGTGACTAACCTTAACCAAGGGTTTTCCGTATTGGGAAAAAGAGAAGATATTTGTTTGTTGATTTCATTGGATGGTTCGAATCCGTTGGATCTGCTTTTAAAAGAAAAGATTTAATAATCAAGTTTGAGGTTTAATGTTGATAGAAGTTACTTCCAAGCTCAATACTTTTGTTAAGTTAATTTAATAGATCAAAAGTAATTAGTTGGACTAATAAAAAAATTTCAAACATTTATTTTGCCTTCTTTTGTACTAAACTTAATTTTTTCATTAAACGAGCATGATTGTAAATGATGAGATTTGTTAACCATGACTTCAACAAAATACTTTCAAATCAATTATCTCAACCACTACTATTATAGATAGATAAAAAGAAAGAAGCTGAAACCCTAAAGACAGCATATCTCATTCGTCCATTTTCGAGTGTTCACATACTATACAATTTAAGACTTCAAATTGCATACTCTACATTCTAGGGTAGGTAAAGCGTAGTGTTAGGCTAACCTTACTTAAAAGGCTCTATGAGTTTTTTACAATCTTCCACAAATGGGTTTAAGTCTTTTTAAAGTTGGCGTAGCCTTTTAAGGAGAATTAACTATTTTTTAATATCGAACACTTTTTAATCTGTTTGGGCATTCCAAAGTCAAAAGACTGGAAAGCAAGAAAAACAGGCGCCATATCTTTTGAGGGAGCGACCTAGCCCAATATCGTCTTTGACCAGTAAGCTTCACGTGTAAAATCCATGTGAAAAGCTTGGATCCATGGTCAACAAGCCGTGATAAAAACTTATTCAAAATCGACGCAATAATAGAAAATTTATGTACGGACCAAAAATTTAATGGAACAGAAAAATCAAAAAGTTTATATAAGTGCGAGGCTCTTAACAGTCAAATTAGAGTACACCTTACAAATTTTACTAGAAGAAAGGTTGTTTCGTTACTCAAGTATCCTCAAATTGATCATCTCGATTTCAAGATGCATGGACATGAGAAAGAAATAAATTTCAACTTTTGGAAATAGGGCATCTAGAAATAAATTTCAACTTTTGGAAATAGGGCATCTTGTAATGTGTTTTGGATCATCAATTTTCAAGATTTTCAAGTTTTCATAGATTTGCTTGATCTATACTATGTTTAGATCTTTAAATTTTATATTGAGATAAAAATATATTTAAAGGCTATCACAAAGATTTCTAGTATTGAAACTACATTTCTCGGCACAAGCTGAAGGTACGTTTTACTTTGATTGTTTAGAGCCTTGGCTCTATAGAAACCGCACACAAAAAAATGGTTTCACAGCTATTTAAAAATTTCTCAAATTCTTTTATATTCATTTGATACCCAATTTGAAGATTGGGAGCTTGGGTCGAATCTTTTGTTTGAATCAGAACCCTTATAAAGATGCAACTTTGGAGTATAATTTTTATTTAAAAGCGGCAGTTGGGAGGTTCTAATTTTACGAGCAGGGTGGTTCGAAAGTTGAACATTTGAATTTCCTTGCAACCTTGGAGTATAATTTTTATTTAAAAACGGCAGTTGGAAGGTTTTAATTTTACCAGCAAGGTGGTTCGAAAGTTGAACTTTTGAATTTCCTTGCATATGCCGCACCCAGGATACGGAGCCATGTGAAGGTTGGACCTTCAAACCATTCCATTACAATGTTTTTTCGATTTTAGAGCTGTTTGAAAGTTGAAGTTTGGAACCTTTGTATTTTTTTTTTAATAAATAATCAGAGGTTCGAAGGTTGCACCTTCGAAATGGGTGACTTTGCCCTTGAAAAGGGAGGTTTGAAAATCACTAAACATACCAAATGTGTGGGCAGTTCAAAGGTATTTTCGGACCAATTATTAAATAAGACTTCATAAAAAAGACTTCATAAAAAGTGGATTATTTTTTAAGAGATTGCTACTGCCATACTATTTGTCTTTGTTAGAAAGAGCTCACGATTTGTTGCTAGTTATTAGATGTCAAATTGGATGGTTTGGGTGTAATTTTTTTAATTTGACTTATAAACACTCACAACCACCCGATTTGGAATTTAACGTAAAAATACTCACAACCACCCGATTTGAATTTTGATGTACAAACACTCAACCACCTGATTTGGAATTTGATGTACAAGAGTGATTGTAATCTCATTCTATATGTCATTTTAAATATGTGAATTTCCTGCTCAACAATGTTAAAACTTAACCAGGGTTATGATCATCAGTTTCTAAAGCAGTTTACTAAACGGTTTACATGGTCTTTACAAGTGAATGCATCTCAGACAATGTCATATCTTCAGAAGAATTACTTACACAAAAAAATATCTTGAAAAGAATTGATTGCATTGCACTCTAAAACCATAAATGAATCTTATAAAAAGCACAATACGTGACTGGTTGGTTGCAGAGTGGCGAAGTAATGCAAAAACCGCGGACTAAGCCGCACCAACACACCAAGGATCAGAAGAAGAAAGTGGGAGTTAGGGTTTGCTCTGTGTCTGAACCCATGCCAAGAAAACCAGCAGTGACTCCCAAACCAGTGGATGAAGACCTCTACAAGATACCACCTGAGCTCCTTCGACGATCTCGCAGAGTAAGATACCTACCCCTTTTCATGCCTTGTTCATTTTATCCCTTTTCTCTGTATTCTATGCCTTCTCGCCCAAAAAAAAAAGAAAGAAAAAAGCTCGCATTTTCATAGCCTCAAAAATACCGATGTGCTAATGGATATTCTTTTAGCTTCGGTGAACAGGTTGGCCGAGCCAGAACATGATGCGAACGATTCCCGTCCTGATTTTTATCATATCCAAAAAAAAAAAAACCCATTTGGTATATGACGATATCCTTTATTCTTAGCAGTTTATGGTCATTACTAATCCTAGATCCAAAACCGGCAGCTAGAGGTGTCTCAAAGCTTGAGAAATTTTTTTTGAGCGTTGAACATAGTAGATAGCACATCGTAGCCATAAAATTTCACATCTAACAACACATATTGGTTATACCCATCTTGTGCAAAGATAAACCCTCCAATTTTATATGCTTTTTTAGAGAAATGTGGGATTATGGGGGCCACTCGTCGAGGAAAAATAGGGAGCCTGCTTATTTTCGAGAGAAAGGAAGGTGATTAGGAATTTTCATAAAATAAAATAAAAAAAGAAAAAAGTGGAAGCTGACTAGGATGGGGTTCCCAAAATGGTCACATCATACATTGCTTTTATCGGATCAAGGATTTTTCATCAATTGTAAAAAAACCAAACACAAGAGGGTATTATTGTCTTTAAATAGGCTCCTTGGGGGGCAGCGTTCGTACATTTTTGCTTTTTGACTTGTCTCAACTTCCTTACCAAACGTAGGTGGTTTTGGTTAAGAAGAAAGTTACAGACGGCCCCATTTCTAGCCAACTTTTTTAGGCAGTGGGCCTTTGCCCCATTAAAAGCCATTGCTTTCATTTATTTATTTATTTATTATTATTATTATTATTATCATTCTCACTATTTTTTTACTTTTTTTGGGGACAGGAGTTTTAGCCATCGTTCCCACTAACACTATAAAAAAATTGTCTATTTAGGACGAGTAGAATCTTTTTAATGTATATAAAAGGTTTATAATTTTTTTTTTTATTTATATATCTTGAGGTCGGGATGATCAATTGGAGTTTTAGTTTCGGAAGACTCTTTTTTCCTGGATTTTTTATGCGTATTTTAATTGTATATTATAAGATTGAAACTTTATATAAACTTTTTCCTTGTAGGTATGGGTGTTGTTTTTATAAAGTTATCATCGTAAACCATCCAATTAAGGCACTCCTCCAAATTTTATCATAATATGCAAGTACAAAATTTGTTTAGGATCATTTCAAAATCTATTTTCATATCTAATTATAAAATTTTAAACTCTAAAAAGGGTTAAAATCAAGCAGATCTATAATCATATGAAAATCTTGAAAATGGACGGTCTAGATAAGAGATTACAAGATGTACTATTTATGGAACTCAAAATCGTTTTTTTTTTTTAATATTCATATATTTTATTGTCGAGATGATCAATTAGAGGGTTTTTCAACATTAAAAACAACATTTTCTGATGGATTTTTGAGGTGCATATGTAATTGTATATTTTTAAGGTCCTTTAAGTATTGTATATCTCAAGGAAAAAATTTATATATGTGCGAGGCTCTAAACAATCAAATTAGGCCACACCTCAAAAATTTCACTAAAAGTTGTTTTGATGCTCAAAGATCATCAAATTGATCATCTTGATCTCAAGATGAATGAACATGAGAAAAAAAATGGATTTCAATTTTTGGAAATAGGGCATCTTGTAATACATTTTTGGACCGTCAATTTTTAAAATTTTCAAGTTTTCAGAGATATGCTTGATCTACTCAATTTTTGAAGTCTTAAATTTTGTAATTAGAGATTAAAATATATTTTAAAGCCTTCACAAAAATTTTTAGTATTGAAACCATATTTCTTGACACTATTTGAAGATGTGCTTTACTTTGATGGTTTAGAGAGTCGGCTTTATACAAACCACACCTATATCTTAAATACTTTTAACAAAATTTATTAAAATATTTATAAGAGATTAACTATTTAACATTTTGCATGTTCATAACCATTCTAACTCAAAATCATGCATAGTGTTTCAAAATCAAATAAGAAAATATAAGTACGATGTTAAATTGTTTCTCTTATAGGATAATTTTTCCTATAAATTAATAATGTCAATGCTATTTATTTTTACACTCAACTTCCCAATAAAAGAATAATTTAATTAATCTAATATAAAAAAGTAAGAAACAAATTACCTTCATAATATAAAAAATAGTTTCTTTTTGCTCCATATCAACGAATGGTGGAGATTCATCATCCGAGGAGATACGGATAGCGTCCAACAACCCATATTAAAAAGTAACCATGGAAACTCAGAGGCCATGAAACAAAGCATTGAATATGTTATTTGAACCCTCATTAAAAAGTGACAATGGAAACTCAGAGGCCATGAAACAAAGCATTGAATATGTTATTTGATAATGCAGGAATTTATATATGAGAAAGCTTTCTATGCTTCTCTTACAACATAAAGCTTATATATTCTCCTTATCCAACCATCCATTCTGAATAGAGGTTAAGATTGCCGCAATCACAATGTCGCATCTCTAAACTATATTATTTTTAAAATTTTTTTCTATAAATTATTGTGATACCAAATTTTGTTTGTCCAATCCTCTATTAAACTTGCACTAGAGAAAAATATAAAAACAATATTTTCAATAAAATAAAATGATCAAAATACTTTTAAAATCTTAATATTTTTTATAGGTGCCCTCCGATGGTACATACCAAATTTAATATTCATACAATTTGTATATAAAAAAAATTAAATGAAGTATTTTGAGACATTGGATCTAAGATCAAACAGTGAGTGGCTTTTTTTATCAAAATTGGATGGTTGGATGGTAGGGGAAGCATAGATCTTCTATGTTATAGAGGAAATCTAGAAACCTTTCCCTTTTATATATATATATATCTTATGAGGTCTTATATCATGGGACCATTTATTTTTGGCTCCATTGGATGGTGGTGGATTGATATCGGATCCCACCCCCATACATAATTTATGTCTTTTATTTATTGACAACCTACCCTCACCATCATAAATAATTTAGGGAAAATAGTTTCATACACTCTAATTCGGTATATGATTTCTCGATAGACCCACACATTTAAAATGTATTTAGCAGCATCAACTTTCCCAAAATTCTTTCTACTAACCCTTCAAACCTATAGACCGAAGTTTCATACAATGTTTACGTCCCAAAGAAATGTTGAAATGGCACTATCTTTCTCACACTAGCTTTCAAAATATTTTCATGCACTCTAATTCGGTATATGATTTCCAAATAGACCCACATATTTAAAATGTACTTAGCAGCATCAACTTTCCCCAAACCTGTAGAATGGTGTTACATATAATGTTTCCATCCCCAATAAATATTGAAATGATATTTTCTCACTCTAGCTTTTCCATTTTTCTTCCCCTTCTCTTTTTCCTCTAGGCACTCTCTTTCTCTCTAGTTTTTCTCCTCTCCCCTCCCTCTGCATCTCTCATACTCCCTCTTTTCCTCCAACCTCTGTCTCTTCCTCTCCCCCCTAAACCTCTCTCTCATGCCCTCTCTCCCTAAGCTCCTTCTCTCTTTACCCCCAGCCCCTCTCACTCTCTTTCTAAATCCTGGCTCTTTTTCTCATACCCTCGGCCCTAAACCTCTCTTTTTCACACTTTTTCCCCAAACTCTTTTTTTTCACCCTAACCCATCTCTCTTTCTTAACCTTACAATAGACAAATAGATAGAGCCAAAGAGAACCAGGTGAAGGCCAAAATGAGTTAGCAATTCCCGTCCAATGGCAAAAGAAGCATACAGACAAATGAGTTGGCAACGCCCGTCCAATATGGCAAAAGAAGCATAGTGACAAGATAGAAGTGGTTTTGTTTTTGGAAGGTAAAAGACATGAAAGGTTTGTTACGGTTGGATGGGATAGGGGAATGACCCAGCTAGAATAAGAAAACGAGAGAGATGGCACGTGTTATTTTGAAAATTGTTTGAGATAGAAATATATAATAAAAGGGGTTCAATGAGTTCAGGGGGTTAGTTGAAAGACTTCTCGCAAAATTAATGCCACTAGATGCATTTTAAATTTACGAGTCTTCCAAAAAATCGTACACCAAATTAGAGTTGTATGAAGATATTTTCTCAATAATTTGTCTTTTGTGGATAACCTCCCCCAAATTCCAGCACAATTCCAAAAAGAGTACTAATTGAATTAAGAAAGCCATTGCCCCAAATTTGGTTATAGACACGAGTGGTTAAAACTGAGGCATCAATCCTATGGTCCATTGCTCTTTGTGTTTTGTCTATTCCTCTAACACCATGAGCTTTTTTATTTGTGCAGAACAAATTTATGGACCTTCTATCGGGAATGTGCGGATGCCAAAAGATTTAAAACTGAGGGCAACATAAGTTTGTTAGTATTACATACATGCAAAGAAGCATGAGTTCGTCAGTATTATTGTACATTCATATTGTATTATTTAAGCTTTCTTAGCAATTGATGTGTATTATTCTGCCCCCCTCCCCCGCCAAAAAAAAAAAAAAGAAAAGAAAAAAGAAGTAGAATTGTTATCCAGGTTTCATTTGTGGGCAAAACCATTAGGGGTCGTTTGTTTCATATGAAAATAATTCAGAATTTTTTTCATACGAAAATAGAGGTTATATTTGTTTGGTTCGTACTTTTGAACATGTGAAAATTTATTCTATGTGATAAATATTTACCAAAATCTCGAATGACGAAAGAGAAAAATGTTTGCCCTTGGACCCAAATTAAACTACCTTAAAAATTTAAGTTTTAGAGAGAGACTATCTCAAAATTTTTAGAGAGAAACAATCTCAAAGTTTTAAGAGATAAATTATATCTAATTTCAAGTTTTACAGAGAAAAACTATCTTAAAAGTTTTAGAGATAAAAATTATAAAAACTTTTAGAGAGCAGGCCTATTTTAAAGTTTTTAGAGAGTAAGTTATTTTAAATTTCAAATTTTTCAGGAGGGTGTTAGACGATTTTATTATTTGTTAGATGTTTTTATTTCAAATTTTAAATCCCTATAATAAAAGGATCTCATTTGGCATGTATAATTATACATTTTTGGATCAATGAATGAAATATTAATTCTCCAAAAGTTAACATGGTATTAGAGCCACCGCCGCCTCTTCCCCTTCCTCTACCTCCGTTGAAGCCATAGCTTCCCCTTCCTTTGTGCTCTCATCTCCTCCTCCTTCATCTTCTTGCCACCTCGTACTTTCTCTCTCTAGATCCGATATAAGCAGAGCCAGAGTGGGTGTTCATTTCACCACCATTGTTGCTCCATTGAGGACATGTAGGCCGGTCATCATGGCTACCTCCCCACAGCAACAATATCTCTCCTAATCAAGCAATCTATGTCTCTCCCTCTCTCGTCTCTGAAAGTTATATCCGAGATTCAAACCCATCGAGAAAGGGAAATCCACACAAAGAACCCATGTTCTCCCATACCACATTTCCCATTCTCTCATTAGAAAATGCCCCACTACTCACCAGAATCTGATAGTGAGCCCCTTCAACCGCCTCTACTTTGAAATTCAAATTCCGGCCAATCTATTGAAGTCCCACAAGACCCACAACTTAGTCTGGGAAGGTCCTACGGATAGCACCATTGCCAGATTCCATTGGTGCTCTGTTTGGGCGGGGCACCAACTCAAATGGCAATGTGAAGGCAAATTTGTTGCCTTTCCCTACCTCTGAAGCCACTTCTGTGCTCACTCCTGCTAACTCTACTGTCCTCTTAGAGGAGTAGAGACCGAGACCAGTGCACCAACAGCTTGGAGGGAGCTAGGTTTGATATGGGAATAGGGCTTGATGAGAGTGGAAATATCTTCCTTGCTTATGCCTCCACCTGTGTTCTCACCTGATAGCCTCACCTTCAAACTTGGCTCATGTCCACTGTGCTGATGGTTATAGAAGTGCGAGATATCTGGTGCTTGGAAGAGTTGGAGAGAAAGTTTGCCAATACCTGGCGCACCCGATGACTCTATTTCCTATTTGCTACTCTATTTGGCTCTCTCTTATTTCCCTTTTAATACATCTGAAATTTTCTCCAAAAAAAAAAGAAAGGGAAAGCCCATAAATTCCTTGGTACTTGTATTGCATTGACGCAATTCCGTCAAATTTCCTTATTTATTGCTATTGCCATGGATAACCAAATACCTTCGCTTTCTGAAAACTCCACCAATGTCATCCTTGGTGGGAACACTATGACTAATGGTAATAGTTTTTCTTCCTCTGTTATTGATTTCACTAGCCTTTTTCATTTGACCAACAATGACAATCCTCGCAATATTTTTGTCTCTCACACCTTTGAAGGTGAGAATTATCCACAATGGAGTTGAGCTATGACCACTGCTTTGAGTGCCTTTGTGGATGGTTCTTTTATCATACCTCTCATCTCTTCTTCTAATCAACTTCTATGGAAAAGATGCAATAACATGATCCGATCCTGGATCCAAAATTATGTCAATAAAGAGATTGCTAATAGTATTTTCTATGAAATTATTGCTCAAGGCATATGGGATGATCTGAAAGATCAATTTTTTCAAAGCAATGCACCTCGTCTCTTTAAGTTACGTTGAGATCTTGCACTTGTTTCTCAAGGTTCTTCTACTATTTCAGCTTATTACACCAAACTTAAATATCTTTGGGAAGAATTTGCTTTTTATACCCCTCTTCCACCTTGTTCTAGTGGGTTGCATCACTATCTACAACAGGACAGATTAATTCAATTTTCCATGGGACTCCATGAGTCTTATCACCCAATTCGAGGCCAGGTCCTTCTCATGGACCTTCCTAATGTCAATAGAGCTTATTATCTTCTTCTTTAAGAAGAAAAGTAGCGCCAGGTGGCTATAAAAACAATTCCTTCAGAATATGCGATTGCCTTTGTAGTCAACACCACTACAAACCGCCAACCCCAGCATCCTTTCAACAATACCGACAAAGCAAAAGGTCCTCGCAAACAACGGCCCAAATGTAATCATTGTGGCTAAGTAGGCCACACCATTGACACTTGTTATGTTCTTCATGGTTATCCACCGGGCCAGCGATTCCACCAACCAGATAAAGGGACATTTTCTAAGCCTACAATAAATGCGAAAAACATTGTTGCTGCAAATTCAAGTCAAAGTAACCCACAATTTAGACAGGATCAATATCGTCGCTTGCTCTCTATGCTTACTGAATGTAATGCACAACCAATGGTCAACTTTGCAAGTAACTCCACATCCTCTCCATCTTCTATTCCTCTCCATCTTCTATTCCTCTCCATACTTGGATTATAGACTCATATACTTCTGATCACATGATTTTTGATACATCTTTGTTTCATTCCTCTACACTTGTTTCTCTCATAGCACTTGTCAAACTTTCAAATGGCTCTTTTGCTTCAGTAACTCATATTGGTTCTATCGTTTTAACACATACACTTTGCTTACATCAAGTATTGTGTGTCCCTTCTTTTGGATTCAATTTAATTTCCATCAAGAAACTTACTGCATTCTATCCCTGTTCAGTGACATTTTCTCACGATATGTGTATTTTTCAAGACCAGTACCAGAAGACGACGATTGGAACAGCTAAGCAGCTTGGTGGCCTTTACTATTTTGAATCCCCTCCACTGACTCATACTGCTCTCTCGTCCATTTCAGTTGGTTATGATCTATGGCATAGACATTTAGGACATGTTTCTTCTACTCGTTTAAATTTGTTAGCTAAGACTGTTGATGGGATCTCTGTTTTCACCCCTAGTCATTGTGATATTTGTCCTTTAGCTAACTAAACAAACAAGATTACATTTCGTTTCGAGTTCTATTTCATCTACTGCACCTTTCGATTTGATTCATTGTGATATTAGGGGAGGTTATTCCACTCCTTCCCATTGTGGAGCTCGTTATTTTTTACCTCTTGTTGGTGATTTTTCTCGTTCCATGTGGGTATTTTTATGCAAAACAAATTTGAGGCTCCATCCTTATTAAAATACTTTTTTGCATTTGTAAATACTCATTTTTCATGCACTATTAAGCACATAAGGATAAATAATGGCTCCAAATTCTTTTCTCGTTCTTTTCAATATTTTGTTAAAGAATATGGGGTCATCCATCAATATAGTTGCGTTTACACATTGCAACAAACAGTGTTGCCAAACGCAAACATCGCCACATATTTGAAATGGCGCGTGCTTTGCACATTCAAAGTAATATTGCGCTTACCTTTTGGAGAGATTGCATTATTATTGTCACATATTTAATGAACCGGTTATCAATTCCTTTATGATCGAATAAATCCCCATTTTAAGTATTATTTAACAAGTAGCCATCTTACTCTCATTTGCGAGTTTTTGGTTGCCTTTGTTACGTTTATACCCTTGCTTAAAATTGGGATAAGTTTAACCCTCACGCACGCAAATGTGTTTTCCTTGGTTATCCCCATGCTCAAAAGGGCTACCGTCTTATTGACCTATCCACAAATTCTATTTTTACTTTTCGTGATGTAGTATCTCATGAGAATATTTTCCCTTATCAAAATCTCCATTACAATGATTCTTTTGTCATTTTACCATTACCAATACCCGATGACTCCCTACCCCTTGATTCACATGATGCCCCAAACACTACTGATCTCATCACTTCCCTACCCAATTTCCCTATTTCTCCTCAACAAGACCAATCTCATGACCCACCACCCACTTCTGTCCCAACACCAATCTCTATACCACCTATTTGACGTTCTCAACATGCTTCTCAGCCACCTTCTTAATCGAAAGACTTTCACTGCTCTCACACCAAGCTTGGAGCTTCTTCCACATCTTTTTCTCACACTGGTTTTCCAAAAGGTACAAATCATCCTCTATCCCATTTCATTTCTTATCAGAACTTGTCTCTCTCCCGTAAGTGTTTTGTTTTAACCATCTCTTCTGTTCAGGAGCCTACCTCCTATTCTCAGGTTATGCAAAACCCCAAGTGGCAATGCAATGTGAGCTTCAGGCACTTGAGAAGAATCATACCTGGACCCTTGCTGCTTGACCTCATGGGGAAACTCCCATTGGATGTAAATGGGTATATAAAGTCAAGTACCGATCTAATGGTACCATTGAATGCTACAAAGCCCGCATTGTTGCCAAGGGTTACACCCAACATGAAGGATTAGACTACCATAAGACCTTTGCACCCGTTACAAAGTTGGTCATTGTTCGCTGTTTATTAGTCATTGCTTTAGTTCGTAACTGGATTTTGCACTAATTAGATTGGCATAATGCATTCCTTCACGGTGACTTGGAAGAAGAGGTATACATGAATCTTCCTC